GTGAGTGCTTTTCACTCACCTCATAGTTCTAGCCGACCTGTGACAATGAAACTGTCACAAGTCGGCTCAGTAGATCGGGAAGTGAGCGAACACATACCGGCGTTCGCTCACTTCTCGATCCTGTCACAGCTCTGCCGTGACAGGGGAGTGGCTGGATTTCCCCCTCCCCGCTCCGATCCTCCAGCACTGACTGGCGGAACGGACGGGGGAGGTGGTGGGTACAGCTGGCTCTGCCTCTAGATAGGCAGAGCCATCTGTCACTCACGCAGCTGGGAGGATCCAGACATAATTGTCGGGATCCGCTTCGGCGTCTCAGTATACCTGAGCTTAGGGTGACGGGAGGATGCTAGTTTGTGTCCTCCCGTTACCCTAAGAACTATGGGGAAAAGCCCTAACCACATAGTTCTCCTTTAACAATCTAGCAAGTTATCTTCTAGTGGGTATGTCTATGAAATGGTGTGAATACATTTGCATTCATGTCTAGCAAACGGAGTTATAATCTTTAGTGTCAATATGTACATTAAATTTATAATCAAGACATTCCAGCATGAAATGCAATAAGATGCTATCCTCTGTCCCTCAAATTTTCCTTACTTGTGTATTTTCATTTGAATAAACATCTTACAAAATTAGACTTTTCAGCAGGTATACTGCAATGCAATAGCAACATAGGACAACAAGCCATAATATTCTACAGAAGCAATACTGTTTAAGTATTTGCTAATATGCACACTTTATTTATTTTGCATAAACCACAAAGATGGCGCCAGTAAAAATTGTTAAAAATAGATGTGCAAATGAATTAAAAAAGGTATTTAAACCCAAAATGTAATATATTGCAGTTTACCAGTCCTTAGATACGGCGGTTGCATTTGTTTCATTTTTACAGTCTAAGAACATTTTTAGCAAGTACAGAGAATACCTGTTGCTCTTGACACAAATGTACTGTCCTTGTCACATCCTATAAGCTGAAAGGACAGCATAAACAATGTTATGGGGATGAGGAAAGACAGACTTGTTTGAAGTTCAAGAAAAGATGATAGCCAGCACTTACATCAAGACAATTAGAAGTGATGTCACAAAAGTAGATAACAAATGAACTTCCTCCAATCTGGATTGTGAGGAGAGAAAAGTAATTACATCCCCAAAGTCTGATAAAGTGCTAATTTTGAAACCTGCGGATAAGGGTGAAGCGATTGTTGTGTTACACGACATGCGTCAATTACAAAACCTGCGGGCCAGAAACAGCCCGCCACAAGATTGTATTAGGCCCTCCAGTCCCGAGCGTTGCACCGTGGCAAGCAGGGTTCATCTTTATTTTTTTTTCCTACCCTGCACTCAGGCAGAAAAAACTTGGAGCAGCATTTCAGCCGGCCTCCCTCTGAGAATCCGCACGTTCCTCCTCGCCCCTGCCTCTGGTCTCCGCGGCTCCAGTAATCCCGCTTCTGTGTATCCAGGACTGACTGTGTGTGAGGACACTACAAGTGTCAGCAGTCCGTGTCCATTTAATGTGCCCCCACACAAAAGACTGTCATATAATGGACAGGAACTGCTGACACTTCTAGTGCCCTCACACACGACACCAGGGCTGTCATAATGATTAGTGAGCCTGAGCTTTGTACTGCGGCAAGCAGCAAGGTTGTTTTTTTTCTTCTTCTTAATGTCCTGCACCCTGATTTTTTCCCCAACCTTCGGCATGGTCCTTAGCAAGTTTGTATTAGACACCCCTGTGTTAGACTATGCAGATTGCCACTGGGGATATTGGATTTATTTGACCACTCTACAACCTATTTACAGATATCCACTAATGAGACAACCCGTATTTAAAAGAAAATTCAATCACTTATTAACATTGGCTTTACCAGTGGTTGGAACTCAACAGAGACTGCCAAGTACCTTATAGTTAAATTTCCAGTTCTACGTATACACACCAGAATATAGACTACCAAAAGACCATAGATGTTTCCGATTGTCTCCAGTTCAGAGAATGTCACCGACTACATTTTCGGATGATTAATTACAGGGTTTGGTGACACTGTTACCGTTCTATCTCAGGGACACTGGACATTTTTGTTTCCAGAATGGACAATTGGATTGATCCCTTGATGTCTATTAGCAAGTGTGTACATCAGTTTGTTATACAAGAATAAAATACAGCCAGAAAATAAGCACCGAGACATTTTCTTTTTAAAAATATGCCCGATGCTACAGCTGAATTTCTCTTACAGAACTTGGAGTTTGTTTTAAGCAACAATTGTTTCAAGTTCCATGACAGAATTTGTGTGCAGTTCCACAGCTTTCATTGCAAACCCTTTTGTTGGTTTGCTGGACAGGCAACATATAAGTCCCTTGGATATGGCATTGGAATCAGGTACGGGCATTGTTCCAATCTACAGATGATAAGTTTATGATTTGAAATGGTTCAGAGACTCATTTGAGGAGTTTGACTAGTTTCTAAATGAGATTTCTCCAACCGCTGAATTTAATGGCTTAGTCCACCTTTTCCACAAAAAAAAAAAAAAAAAAAAAACAAACCCAAAAGATCAATGTGCATTTACTACTTATTTTTGGCAATGATGTCTGCAGAGCACTGCAGCTGTGATCAGGGCATTGCACAGGCTCTTGCAATGTATTCCCCCAGCCTCAGGTGTGTATGGAGGTATGGACCCGCTGTTTAGGACACTGGAAAAAGTGTAGCTGAACTACCACTTGAAAAGTGAGGAATAATATCAGTGTCCTTTTTGTTTTTTCCCACATTGCTGGGGGCCATTAATGGGCCAATTTTTTTAATCTTTCTTTTCAGCAAGCTTTCCTGTTTCCCTGGTGACAGTTGCCATGGGACTGATAAACCTTGTTTACTACTGGCTGTAACTCTGGAGAAAGACTATCTGCACATGTACAGGAAATCTGGCTTTCTGTGACACAGGCAACATGTGCAGTAGCATTGCTTCTGGTTGCTGGAACACAGGCTAGTGTTTGTGCATGGTCATAGCAATATTTCCTGATGATGGGTGATGCCATGTAGACCTGATTACGGCTCATTTTGGGCTGTATTTAAATGTGGTGTGTACCCATTCACATATGCGATGTTTCGCTACTTTTAAAAAATTGGACCCTTGTTTCCCCAATCTTGGGTCTATGGAATAACAGTAAAATTTAAGTTTTAATTTCTGGATGTGCTGGCTTTAATTTTTACTTAGATTTGCACTGTACCAATGTAACCCAATCACCCACTATTTTGCAGGGCACAGTTGGGAGTCAGTGTGGCACGGACTGACAGATTGTAGAGGTCCAGCCCTGTGTGACCACCATGGCAAGCCCCATAGATGATATGGATATATGTGTGGACAAGAAGGAGCACGAAGTGTGTTATTTGCAGCATTACCAGGTGGAAAGAAGGGAAATGAAATAGGAAAATGAATGCAACCACCATATCTAAGGATGGTGAACTGCAATATACTGCATTTTGTTGTTGGGTGTAGATACACTTTAGTGCAGTTTTACAATCACTTACCTTTTATTCCTTTTCTATGTTTAGCAATTAGCATCAACACGTCTGCCCAGCCATCTGCACTACATTTTATTTTTGGACATGCATTTCTCTCAGTAATAAAAGAGATGCAAGAAGTATACTTATGTTATAAATCATGCACGGTTTTCCTCCTAAAGTGTTTACACTTAGTCTATAAGAAAATATTTATAAATATAAAAACAGCTATATAATATGCACATGCACACATAGCTATATAAATTATACACACTTCCTTTTTTACTGCATCTTTTGAAAACCAATCAAAAAGTTCAAGCACACCCACAATCCAAAATCTTGTACTAAACTGCTTTAGGCCCCATTCACACTAAGCGATTTATTGCACGATGTCGCGCATTTTTGCCGCGCGATATCGCGAGAAGTCGCCGGCCAATGCTATTCAATGGAGCTGTCTTAGCTCCATGTCGCCCGTCACGGTTATTGCAGAAATATTAAAAAAGTCAACGGAAACATGTATAGACCGACCATAATAATCTATATAGAGATATCCAAAATAAAACATAAGAAATAAAAAAGTTCAACCCAGTCACTCTTTTATTGTCAAGGAAAAGAATAAATTGTTTGTCTCTTGGCGCTAATGGTTGCCGTTACACAATCATCCTGAAGTAAGCGTTCCAACTCTATACACAACCTTGGGGGGCTGCTCCTCATAAGACTCTGGTGTTCCCATCACGTACATAAAAGATATTAAAAAAACAGAGCGCCGACACCATGTGTAAAATCTTTTTAATAAGTAATAAAAAATGGTTATAGGTACTCACAAGCTTAAAATTTCATCACGCTTGTCAAAGAAGTCACAAGGTCAGTATCTGCATATAAAAAAACGGTCACATAAAAAACTGCCTCCGGTCACGCGTAAATCCAACTTAAAGCAGCCGTTGATTTCGATGTGACCAGAGGCAGCTTTTTATACGTAGTCGGAGCGGAATACTCCATAGATACCGACTTTATGACTTCTTTGACAAGTGTGATGAAATTTTAAATTTGTGAGTACCTATAACCAATTTTTATTACTTATCAAAAAGATTTTACACATGGAGGCGGACTCTGTCTTTTATATACTTTTATTTGTTTTGGAAGATATATTGGTTATTATCTAATGTGATCCTACACTAGATAGAATCTGTATCAAAAGTAATGCCTTGCTTGCCTATTGCTTCTTCCAAATTTTACCTCTTATGTTTCTGAGAGATGAAGAAATAAAACCATTGGGTAAATCTAAACGCTACCAATAACCAGTTAGTTTAAAATTGACTGTCCTGACTACTTTTACATGCTCAAATCTGAATTATATCAGCTATGAAATCAACTCTTTGTTTAAAGAAAACCACCAACATTAAGCCTAGATATCAGACCTATGCATGAATCACAGCACATTTCTACTCATATAATTACATTGTACTGATTCATTAACTCCATGGATGAATAAGAAAGCCTTATAAAGCAGTACCTTTTCCTGGAAAGAGCTGGAGTCCCCCAAGGTGAAGGGAGAGTGGTCTCATTTGTCAAGCAAGGCGGGATCTGTTCTGCACGACTGCAGATGTGGACAGACACAGAACAGGACAGAAAAGTTAGAAAGACTAGTGGGGAAAGCATTTGTTAGTTGCAGAGAATAAAGAACAGAATTCTAGCAATATAAAGAACAGGCAAAAGACGTAGATGAACACATAGGGTGGCATGTGATGGACCTTCATTAGGCCAGAAAACAAGCAAGAAAAACACTAATGAACACAAACATTTTGCTATATAAAAAAAAAAATTAAATTTAAATAAACTGGTGTACGCTAAACAAAACAAAAAAGGACTGCATGCCTTACTTTTCTTGAGCGCAGCAGGATTGAGGCGGTACAACCGCCTTGCACCCCCCTGTGCCCTTAGAACTCACACATTTGTGACATTTCATAAAACTTTTTAAAAAAAATGAGCAGTTTAAGCACATCGACACTGTGTCGGGGACTGCATACCAGCCGCTGTGCTTCCTGGTATGCAGTGATGTGAATGGACCCTTAATCTACAATCAGCTATAGACAAAGTGATGTAACCCAAAAATGTATATTTATTAAGCCCAATAATAGGCAGTTGGTGCCCTAAAGCAACATTCGTGAAATCAGATATTTTTTTGTTTTATTTATTAATCGTTGCCCTTCCTATATCATCACTATTCTCTGAAGTACCAAAATGTGATTCATTCACCAAGTAGAAAGAAAATTCAGCCTACATGGTTACCCAGCATTAGTGCTACCCCAATTACTGCTGTCACTTACTGGTGGGCAGTAAAGATGTCACAACAGATCATCTCTCAAGATTTAGTGCTGCACAACCTTCATTTTCTATCAAAAGAGACTATGCCTGAGCCTGATTAAATTATTCTTACACAAAGTCCATCTGAGGCTGCTTGCCTGGAACACAAAATTGATAACATACATTGAGAAACTGCTTTCCTTACAAACTTAACCTGCATTGCACTTATTGCAAAGCTAGCAAAATAATTCTACTGATCAGATTAACCAGATATTATTGAGAAAAAAAAAGCCAACAGTGCTTTCCTAAATTAATGCTTTTAACATGCCGATGCTTATCTTTAGCCATTTCAATAAATTTATATTTTTGATGCCCAATTATGTTGTGAAATTATTTTTAAGACCTGTGAATTCCACTGCTTTGCATGTGAAATCACTTGCAGTTTCCCTTATTGGCATCAAGGCAATTGAGTGCTGTCCATAATAGTTTAGTTGCACTAACGGCTACATTTTCAGGACAAGCTTTTAGGCCGTTCCCTTCTTTTCCAAGCAGTACCGGCATCCAATGCAGGCAGCCAGGGAATGTATAAGGTCAACGTGTGCAGCTTCTGTGATACAGAACCACCAGCATGCCCCCCACTCACATCCATGTTCTATTTACAGACCATGTAGCGCAGGGGTGCCCAGTAGGTAGATCGTGATCTACCAGTAGCTCTCAAAGCTGATGCTGGTAGATCACGAAGGGTGTGAATGGTAGCCCCTTTATTCCATTTTTGTATATTTATTTCGCTCATGATTACCTATTAGCCTGAGTCTGCTGAGCCAAGCTCCCTGACACCTTTCTGGTGGATACTGGTGGTTGAAGTGCTATGTATTACATCAAAGAATATTAGTTTACACAGCCTGCTGCACTGCACTGTTTGCAACATACAGCAAGGTGAGCCAGGAGAGAGAGCAAGGAGAGACAGCCGGAAGAGAGAGCAAGGGAGGGTTTTTTTTCGTTGGTAGATCTTATGTAGCTCGTCATTTGAAAAGTAGATCTTAACACAAAAAATTGTGGTCACCCCTGATGTAGCGGGTGGGCAGACCATGGCCATTGCCTTTTCCCAACTCGCCTTTGTAAAAATACTTATACTGCCCCTCTACAGATTGGTAGCAGCCAATGTTTGACTAAAAACTGGTCAGCAAAAGGTAAATAATGACATTTTTAAAAGAACCACAAGTTCGGCTGCATTTAATAACATTTTCTAGATTGATGCATTTAGAACAACTGCCGTCATTAACACAAAAAAAAAAAAACTAACAGCCTTTAACCAGTTGACATCCGCGGTGTTAAACCCCCTTCCCATCCAGGCCATTTTTCAGTATTCAAAACTAACAGCCTTTAAACAAGTACACCTGTAACAGGAGAATGTAAATACTTCCCTTTCTCGCTGTCAATGCCATAAGAAAGACACTGTGAAATTCTCCCCTAAAGTCTGCTGGGAAACCAACACTTTCAGGAGAATCAATCTCCATGATCCCTTGCAGCGCTCAGTGCTTCCTCCTGCCGACCTCTCCTTCACTACTGTATCCTGTAGTGATGAAAGGATGAGGAGGAACGGATGAGCACTGCAGGGGACCAAGGAGATCAACATTTCTAAGCGTTTATTTCCTATGGGACTGTAGGGGAGGATTTCTTTTGACCGGAACAGTATACTGGCAGCAGAAGGTATTTCTTCATGTCTGCATTCCGTTTTGATATTTATTTATTTTTACTGGCAGGGCTTAAGTACTTTGTTGCAAAAAATTGAAGATCAGTTCCAGGCAACAAAAGAAGTTAGAGAGGTATAAATGCTATCCAGTAAAAATGAACTCCCATCACAGATTTACTGAGTGTACTTTCTGAAGCATGTGCTAGGAGCTTCCTTTTGTGGTGCATTCTGTATAGCCAATCACATTCAAAGCTAATCTGATTATTGGTTGCCTTGTGAAACATCGGTCCTCATCTCTTTTTCTGCAGTCTCTGTTCTAAATGAATGCAAAGTGCCGGGGGTGCTTGCATATCTAGGAATAGTACAAACAAAAAAAAAGTTTCCCAGCACGCTTACCAGCTAGCCTGCAAGACATTTTTTTTTCACTGTCTTACTATTACGGTTAAAAACAGACAAAAACAAACCGAGCATCAGAATGGGAAAGACAGGTGATTGAAGTGACTTTGAACATGGCATGGTTTTTCGTGCCAGACGAGCTGGTCTGAGTATTTCAGCAACTGCTGATCTACTGGGATTTTCATACACAACCATCTCTCGGGTTTACAGAGAATGTACTGAAAAAGAGAAAATATCCAGTGAGCGGCAGCTCTCTGGGCAAGAATACCTTGTTGATGCCAGAGGTCAGAGGAGAATGGCCAGACTGGTTCAAGCTGATAGAAAGACAACAGTAACTCACATAACCACTCGTTACATCGGAGATATGCAGAAGAGCATCTCTGAACACACAACACATTGAACCTTGAAGCAGATGGGCTACAGCCACAGAAGACCACACCGAGTGCCACTTCTGTCAGCTAAGAACAGGAAACTGAGGCTACAGTTTACAAGGGCTCACCAAAATTGTAAAATACAAGATTGGAAAAACATTGCCTGGTCGTATGCTTCTTGAAAGCCCGTACGATCTGCCCACCTTGGACGGGCAGATCGTACCTGCGATCATCAAAAGCCCGCCCCGCTGAGGGGCGGGCTTCCGATGACGGCAATGCAGAACGGGCAGTGTGCGCGTGCACACACCGGCCCGTTCCGCAGCTATCGGGCGAGCAGGCTAGAAACCCGCCGAGAATCGTACGATTCTAGGCGGGTTTTCGAACATGTTGGCTCGACAAAAGACGTGCGACCGTACGTCTTAGTCGCACGTCTTAGTTCACACTGCTCGATTCTCGTACGATCGCGGGATTTCGCCCGATTCTCGTACGAGAATCGAGCAGTGTATGGGCACCTTAAGGCTCCATTCACATGGGCCTTTAGGCTGCAGCTGGGGATTTCTGTGGCAAGAACCACAGGTGTGCCCATTACAGATGCAATCTCTGTGCCCGTACACGTTAGTGACAGGCTGACAGCAGCAACATCGGTCAGTGGTAGTCCACATGTAATCGTACATGGTACAATTACATGCAGTTCAAGATAGACGATTATCCCTGAATGCAAACTGTCTGCATCAAGGGACAATCATCTATCCCGAACTGCATGTAATTGTACTGTGAATGTTTACATGCGGACTGCCGCTGCCAGCTTGTCATTATCCTGAACGGGCACAGTGGCTGCATCTGTGTGGATGCACCAGGGATTCCTGTCACAAGAATCCGTAGGTTCTTGCCACAGGAATCCTCAGCCATCCAATGTGAGTATAGCCTAAGAATGCCGGGTATTTCCAGATAAGCCACACTGTACATAAAGCAGGACTCCTGGCTAACAGTCAAATTACATATACAACTCCTTATAACTCAGGCCTTCTATCCCTTTAATTTTGTAGCCCTTCTCTGAACTCTCTCCAGTTCCAGGAGGTCCCTCCTGAGAGTTGGTGACCAGAAATGTACCACATACTCAAGATGAGGCGGAACCACTGATTTATTAGGTGGAAGTATTACTCTTTGATCCGTTGCTACAATTCATTTTATAGCCGGCTCCATGCTCCCTCGTCACTTGGGGAGGGGAGAGAGAGCAAATGCACCTACCGTAAGTTAACAGTGCGGGAGGTGCATTGTGTTGCCATTCAATTGAATGGCACCCCAAATGCACCTCACGCCCACAATTCAAACAACCATGCCGCAACATGCGGTACCACAATACTGTGCATTGCAGTTGAAAAAAGTAGTGCACTTTTTTCCACTGCAACACAATGCACGACTTTGCAGTACCACGCGGCATGATGCGATCAAATGAATGGCGACGCAACTGTCACACTAATGCACAGTAGGTGTGTTGCGTGGTACCTTGCATTAATCGCACAGAACAGTGCGTGAACAGGCCCTTAATGACTTCAAGAGGTGTTAGGTTGACATTGCCGACACAGCTACAGTTTTCCCATAGCAGCAAGTTACATTTGACATTTTTTAATGGGTACAATAATGTTTTAATACTCTGCTGTCCAATGCGATATCTTCCAGAAGTCTATACTTCCATCATGTAAGCTCAAAATCCATTAGCTGACAGTATGATATGTGGTATTTCTGTTCTGTTCTGGTCTGGACAGAATCGGGACATTGTGTGAACAAGCCCTCAGGAAGCACTGTTTTTCTAAGAAAAGGCCACAGACAGCATAGTGGAATTTGCATAATGGGTCAGTCCACCCAAAACTAATAATATTTCAGCTTTGGGTAGAAGGCAACTGTTTACTTTAAACCAAGCTTGTTCCAAATATATGTACAACCTTGGCTAAACCTTCCCTTTCACCTTGAGAAGAGGGGAAGAGATGTGAAACGCACGTGCCTATTTTTTGCTGGACCACACACACAAAAACAGGACCTGGAACTACAAATGACAGGCAGACGTCTGCCACACATTGTACAACAGTTAAAAATTAAACAGTTAAAAATATTAAATTAGGAATATAGGCAAAATCGAAAAAGACATGTATGATACAATCTGTCAATAGCCTCAACCCTGTAACATAGTTGTATTACCAGTTGATTCGGCCAGGCAATGTGCTATTTCTCCACACCCTTTAACAAGCCAAGCTGTCCAGCAAGGTCGGCATTGAAGTCAGGACAAGCCATTTAACACTATGAGGTGCGCTTACAATAGTCAGCCTTTACTTATATGGGTTGATCTTATTTCTTTTGTATAAAAAAAATAAAAAAAACTGCTGCAGTAATGGTTTAAAAAGCTGGAGTTGGGCTTTAATTTTGTTTTTGCCTTAGGTAAAGCAGAAGTAAACCAAGCCATATGTTTGAGCTATAACTTATTACCCAGCAATTTTTTTTAGGAAATATTACCTATAGTCATATTTACCAGTCTTAATTAACACTAAACTCTTCAGGCCATGCCAAGCCCTCTGTTCCCCAAGGTAGCCCCATCTTTCATAAGCCAAAGAAGAAAAGTGCAGGGTCTCTTCCTCAAAACAATAATATGTTGCTTTGAGGAGACATCACCAGTACTCATACTTAGTGCTAGTGACTTCTCCATTGTTCTTATGTGGATCTACACAGCGCCATCTATGGTTGTCACTACAAGCACTGGCATATTGACCTGATCATAGTACTGTATGGAGTGCAGCTGGTATCTACATTTTTCTATTTTTCATAAGCCGACTTCTTTTCCAGACAGCCTCATCTTCCCCCAGCCAAGGTAAACAAAATCTCATGCATGCACTACCCGCTGCACGGACGTCAGATTAGTCATTGACTCCTATCAACAAGAGGAAGTTTAGCTGCCAGAGGAGGAGCAGGACGTCACCCTGTCACAGTGTACTGCGCATGCGCACTTTCATCATTGGTCCCAGAAGACCGATGATGAATGTGCGCTTGCGCAGTTTAATTTTACCCTGAACATCTGCACCCCAGAGGTGGTTCTTAAACTTTTTGTGGGGGCTGCAGTGCGCAAAACATAAAGATCAAAAGGTGGGATAACATTTTATCGAAACGCATTTGGTGATTTCACTAACGCTGAAAGTCCTACTAAAACTACAAGTACATCTAAGGCCTTGTTTACACCAAATGCAGAGCAGATCTGCATGAGTTTCTGCACACGCAGTGCAGTGGGTTGTGACGCGTTTGGATGCGTTCCAGGTAAAAAAACTAAATTTTTTTTGTTTAAAATGGGCTTTCGGTGCGTTCCAGGCGTTTGCATGCGTTCCAGAGCAGGTAAAATAGGGCCTGCTGCAGTTTTTTTACCTGCTCTGGAACTGAACGCTGCGATGTGAACTGGAGCTAAAAATACCATTGGAATACATTGGACGCAGTTTTGCTCCGGTCTGTAACTGCTCTGCACCTGCTCCGCGCTTGGTGTAAACAAGACCCCTAAGACCCCATTCACACAAGATCTGTTGCCATCTGTTTTTCAACGCATGCCAACACAAGGACATCTGAAAATGAATGGGTGTGAATGGTAGTAGTTCACACCAGGGCCTTGCATTGTCCTCCGCTAAAATAAAAAATAAAAAGCAGAGAAGGCTCCAATTTTTTCAGTGAATGCAACAGATTGGTACGAACGTGTCAACACAATGCAGAAACAATACCATATATAGCTTAGTGTAAAAAAACAAAACAAACATTAAAAAATCCCCCCCCACCCAAACGCAACACCACACAACGGATTTTAATGCACTAAGCAAACTCAAGTCAACGTACCTCTGTTGACTTATGTTTTTGGCTCTGGTATGAACGCACCCCAAGAATACCCGGTTAATAGGGTGACAACACTGCTGCACAATGTTACTGCAAAATAAGTAGCGTCGCCACCCTGTTAAAAGCTGTGGAGAAATAACGGATGTACTGGCAGGATCAACAGGTAATAAACCTATGTTACAGGGAGAACTTAGAAAAACAAAGACTGATGTGTTAATGCTACTGGCAAACTGCATTATATTTGTCATTTCTTTTATTCCACTTTAAAGTCTATAAAATACCTGATCAAGAACTTGACAGAAATCTTAACACATGGAAACTCTACTTGGATTATTCAGAATTCCAGAATACTAAAGTATTTATAGCACAAGGCTTAGGATACTTTACTTTTACAATCACTCTTTCATGAGACATATTTTGCCTTTTAAAGATCACCTATCAAAAGCCTTCTAAAACAATTTATGCGGAAAACAAATTCAAAGGTTAAAAACAACCCATTTCTCAGCCTTGATATTGCTCCCCATTACTCCTCCAATAACTATTTGCATGCTATGGCATTCTTTGACTTTCAGCAGTGTAACTACTTCTCCTGGAAAAGAAAAGCTTTTATTTTGCCCTCACCGGTAACATTTCTCAGAATCTTCATCAGCCTATATGCAAGCCATACAGTGATTTTACGAAGATTAGTATTCTTCCACAAGCCCTGCAGTCAATTAGATTGTTGAATTATATACACTAATCTAGAAGTCAGTTTAGCCTAACCTCCCAATGATCTGCATCTATGTATGTATGCTCAAATGGAAATGTTAGATGGCTATTCTTTCAAAAGAAATTGGAAATGTAGAACACAAAGAAATGGAAAATAAAAATGAACCTAATAAAGCAGTCATAATTATCCAGCCTGCCTAATGCATCTAACAACTCAATCTGGTACATTAGGCAGGTTGGAGGTGCAGCTGTTTTTAATTGTGTTTGTTAAAGGGCATCTCTCCCTCATGTACACATAGAACCCACAAGCTGATGACATGTACTGTAGAGAAACAGCCAAACTATTTGGACAGCAGTAAAGATCCTGCAGGAGAACGAACCTTGACACATTTCACCTAATATTAATCTTTTTTTTTCTTCTTTTGGATGGAGCCATTTTTTAAAGGAAACCTGTACTCAGGAAATATGGAGACTGCCATTGCTGACCTCTCCTGGCATCATTCTGACGTAAAGTGTATCTAAACCCAAAAGTATACAATTTTACAGCTTACCAGTTCTTAGGTGTGGTAGCTGGATTTTTTGTTCAGGTTTTATTTACCTTGTGATCCTGCCAGGAACTCATTTGCCTAGGGTGACAACACACACTCATACTGTATCTATGGAGCAGTATTGTCGCGGGTATTCGGACCACAGACCCCCCCTTATCTCCATAACAAAGGGGAGTATGTTCTGTAGTTCACAGAGAAGAATTGGGCAAGAATGATAAATGATATTACTGCCACTAGATTTTCCTGGCCATCATCAATCAACCCACTTCCTCCAAGCCCTGGTCCACCTCTAGCCAGTTACTGGACAGTAAAAGGAGAAGCAGCCCAGTGATGAGCTCATCATCATTCTGCTCTCTCCTCCCATAAGCATGCTTCTCGTTAGCACAGTTCCTTGTGCTGTCTCTTCCTCGAACATTCTGAGTCCTGCTATACAGGAACTGCACAATGTTGACACCAGATCCACATCAGGTACTTACACTGCTTGCATTTAAAAAACAAAAACCCCCAAAACACCTAATGATGTATTAATGATTACAGAGTGCACTCATTTATGTATTTTAAATCTGCATGAAGTTCAGTATCAAGCTTAAGAATACTTGCTCCTGTACAATACTTTACAAAGAACTGAAGCCAGGGATGATCAGGCAACTAGCATTTTCAGAAAGAGGCCCCTAATGTTATGGCAGTCCCTATTCTTCTGTTAGTGCAGGTTTCCTTTAATATAATTAGAGATTCTGTCCCGCATCTATTTACTGTACTGTAGATTAGATCAGTAATAAAGACATAAAACACAGAGACAAAAATGTAAAAAGTTAACATACCTGTCAAAAGAGTCTGTGACTACTTTATAGAGATATACAAAGAGTTTGCTGCAGTGCCTAAGAACAGGACACACGGAGTCCAAGTGCACCAGGTCCTCCTCTAGCAGTCTCTGAAATGGCTGATTGTTGGAAGGGAAGACGTTTGACGGTTTGATTTTCCGGGATTCTGCAAAGCAGCCAAGCAGCCGAATGGCATCGGCCAGTTTTTCATACTGGATCTCAGTTTTAAAGAAATGAGAGTTTGCAGGCTCATAACGCATGGCTGCTGTCAGTGTGCAGAAAACGGTGTGTAAAAGTTCAAAGACCTGGTTCTGGTTCACTTTTTCCCATCCGTTCCTTGGTGGACAGCTCAGAGATTTCTCCATCGCGACCAACAGGGAAGTGACATATACAAATCCTCCAACTTTCCTGAAAACGGTCCTTGTTCGGTGACTCTCTCTCAGAACTATTAAAAGGGCCTGCAAACCATAAAAGACGTAACATAATTCAGTAAACCTGTCAAGGCCTAGGTATGTAAATGTTCAATGGCATCAGTATAGTAAATAAATAAAAAATTATAAAAAACTTGTTTTGTTTCTGATGTTAAATCTGCTGTTCCTGAGTCCGATCTCCTGAGACGGGAGCACTAATCAGGTGACTCCGTAAGCTAAACTGCCTCAGCATCAAAGGCTATAGCTAATTATTCAGGCATGAGGAAGCAATTGGTGGTCATTAAAATTGTATGCCATAAGTTTTGCATCAGATATACACATAATATTGATTAATACTTCCAACATGGAGTAGCTCGCATCCTGATCTGCTCAAGGTACATCACTCAAATGCTTGGGTCACTTGTAAATGGCTGGATCTTGAGAGACTGCCACCTATAATAAGATTTGGTTGAAACGTTTGCAGAGTATAAAATGGGCCTGAAGCAAAAAAAGAAGCAGGGGGGCAAAGGACTAGCCACCAGTATCACCTATAGGCTACCTGCAGCTGATATTTTCACTCATTATTGACTTACCATGTGAAGGACCCCATCTTAATAGAGGCAGGGCTTTGCTTCCTCATCTCAGAGCTGATCATCCCAGCCACCCCCCTCCCTTTCCCCAGTGATCTATTGTTTTCACGACTGGAGGGGTTGTATTTAAGCAACATGAGATGTGCAGGGAGCACAGATCCACAGAAATAATGAAGAGGAGCAGGGAGATCTTTGCACTGCAGGTGATCAAGTTACAGCTTTTTCTCCAGCAAGGAAAACAGCAAACAAGACAGTGGTCATATTACCAAATCATGTGAGACTGGCAGCCAAAAGCAGAAGTGCCTTTGACCCAACGCTGTAGATATATACAGTGAGTAAAATAATTATTTGATCCCCTGCAGATGTTGTAGGTTTGCCCACTTACAAAGAGCTGAAATGTCTATAATTTTTATCATAGCGGTATTTTAACCCTTTCGCTGCCACCACCGTAAGGCATACGGCGGAACAAAACTGTTCCCCAGCTGGCCAGGCCAGTATGCCTTACGGCGCTGGCATTTACAGTTCTGCTATAAGCTCATTAACTTATACCAGAACTGTTCCCCAGACAGTCCTCTTTAAATTAATAGCGGTCATCAGTGGCTGACAAGCCGCTGATGACAGCTATTAACAGAAATTCAGGGCGCTGCCAAAACACCACTGGCATGTGGACGCCGGCATGTTCAGCCTCTCATCCAGGCAGGGATCTGCGACTCCATGGATCCGCGCTGCTCTCCCCCGCTTGTAGGGGCTCTGGCAGCGGGGATCCGAATCAAAATGTCCGGCAGGCGGGGAGGGTGAACGAGTGGCAGCTGGCGGGGAGGAGGAGAGAAGCCGCAGCTTTCAGGATGGCCGAGCAGTGGGGAGATCAGAGCCGCTGTCATCCTGTCAGTTTCAGGATATCGGCTCTGTGCGTGGCCGAACGGAGGATCGGTAAATATCATTGATATTTACCAGTCCTCTGTGTGCAGAGCAAACACCGGATTAATCTGATCACTCCAGTGTTTGTAAATAACTGGGGACACATAGTATTGTGTCCCCAGTTGTGAATGTCTCCAGTAGTGATTTACATCACTTCCTGTTCATTGATTAATTTATGAATGGGGAGTAGCACTCACTACAGAGGCTTCTCTGCCATTCGGAAACTGCTTGATAGTAAAATATACTTGATAGCAAAATACTTTTCATTCAGTTTCTGAATGAACGGGAAGCCTCTGTACTGAGTGCTTTGCATTCATCGAGTGCTGAGGCTGCAGAAAAATAAATTGAGGACTCTGTGTCCTCAATTTATTTTTCTATTTCAAAAGGGAAATGTCAGGGGACTGTTTAGACCCCTAATATTTTCCCGAAGCGCCCCCCACCCCCCCCCAACGTCCTTTGACAGCTCTTTGGACTTGCCCATGGTGGTGAGGTTTGAATGGAAGAAAGAGATTCTGTAGGCAGGAGTCTTTTATATCCATAATGAGTTGTCATTAGGAGAATCTTCTTAAAATGACAGGACTAATCTGTGTACCACATAGCCAGTCTGTGGGAGCCAGAATTATTGTTGGTTGGCAGGGGGTCAAATACTTATTTTACTCACTGAACTGGAACTCAATTTATAACATTTGTATCATGTGTTTTTTCAGAATGTTTGGTTGATATTCTGTCTCTACCATTTAAAATACACCTCTGATACAAATTATACACCTTTCATTTGTTTGTAAGTGGGCAAACTTACAAAATCTGCAGGGGATCAAATCATTATTTTCCTTCCTGTAGCTATGAGGCTCAAGGCACTGAAGTGTCTAGGCAAAGGAATGACACCGTTACTTTTTTAAGAGCCGTTTAAAACAACGTAAATCTCATTTAGGGAAAATTTTAGATGTCCCTCTAAGATATGAAGACTACACTTTTTCTGTTCAGGGCCACATTAATATTCCACAAATATACACTGCCAGTAGGTCAATTTAAAATTACAGAAGTTATATTAACAAAAATGCTTTGTCAGTTTAACAAATTTATAACCAATTAAAAAAATGTATGCACAAATCATAAAAAATACCAAAATATATTTATAGACCGTTACTTATAAACAATGTAACAAAAATGATCAGAGGGAACCAGTTTAGCTCATTTATTGAAATGTGAAATAAAGCGTGATTGCAAGTTATCATACAACCTAGCAAGATGGGACCGAAGTGAGAGAACTAGTCATACTTTCTGTGAATATCACCATCTGTTATCTGTTAAATGGAAAATTGTTTTTTATTCTGCTCAAAAAAAGAAAATGCTAAGAATTCCATTTACAGCCGGTAAATAACTCACCCGAAGAATGTCTGTCTTGAGCTGCAGCTCCGTTGGTGGAGCAGAGTGCATCAGTCCTAAAAGGGTCCCCATGTCATCATCTCCACTTGGGGATAACATTAATTGCTGGATCACCATGAGGGCATGCTCTCTGCATTGGGGGTACTTGACTATGTTGTGGACACATCTTGCGCCTCCAAATTCTCTGAAGACACCTATGTATAGCAAACACAAATCATTCTAAAAAATATATTGGGGTTTTCCATTTCAAATTGCAAAAAAAGGGGCCACAAATTTGTCACATGTTTTGTTGAGGTCCTCAATGCTCTGAAAGTGGACCTATCAATGAAATTGAATACGACACGTCAGCATTAAAAAAATCACATTAGTCTGAGTGAAAGTCAGTATGACACAGACAGAGCCAGCTGTGCCCGCCCCCTCCCCGTTCTTTCCTCCACTAAGCGCTGGAGGATGAGAGTGGAGGGGGGAATCCCTGTGGGGAGCGGTGACTGACAGTCGCCGCTCACTGCAGGGAGGCGATCGGGAAGTGAGCAGGTTGGTGCATGTTTCTGCTCACTTCCCGATCAATAGAGCCGACCTGCCACAGCTTCTTTGTCACACGTCGGCTCTAATTATGAGGATGAGTGGAAATCACTCACCTAATAGATCTCCTTTAACCGAGTCTTAAATGTCATACAAAAGATAATAGAAATATTATAAATCTTTACTTTTAAGGGGGATTTGGACACTCAACTTCTCCTTTATGTTACAATATATAGTGATACAGTAAAAGTTGACTTATGTTGGGAAATAAGGGAATGTAGACATGACGAATAGCGCTGTTCTTGTTCATCATCTTTGGATTTGTATTGATAAGTCTGTAGTAGTCACACAGAAGTTATGCTATGTGAATGAGAACATAGAGCAAATATAAAGTAGGTGTTATCCCCAATTTGTCTGCAAAAGTGAAACTACACTTTAAAATGTGGCTCCACTTTTGTAGCCAACTTGAGATTACACTTTATATGTGTTACATTGCTGCTTACTTTCCAACTGCTCTTTTTGGAAAACTCCAAAAACAGATGTTTTGGCCTGATGTGTAATGTTAAGGGGTCTGGGGTGCTAAAGTTTTCCTTAATTAACCCTCTCTGTGCTGTGCTGGTAGATTTCATCATCAGTTGTAGACTAGATTTGAACTCAGTCTATCCTTACAAAGCACTGAAGATCTCAGGGCTTGTGTCCTGCATTGTATGTCAATGAGAGGAAACTGAAGCTGTCCTAGTTTGTCCCCCTCGACCTTCACTTTTAAATTGTTCACAATAGCTTGCAGTCTGCCCAAAGGCCTGCTCCAAAGAAACAACTAGAAAAGGTAATATACAGTGTCTGTATGTATGTATGTATGTATGTATGTATGTATGTATTGGCTGCCAACTGGTGGTGCGCGAGAAAATTTTGGTGGTCCCCGGGCCCCTCTGATGCCGTGCAGGCTGGGCCATCATTGAAACAGCATGGAGGCTCCAGGGCTGCCTCTCACTGACTCAGGCAGCGGCTTTCCGTACAGTGGGCGCTCTGCAAGAGGCGGTGCATCTCGTCAGTACCCGGACTGAGCAGGCTGCAGGACATAGAAAAAGTGGGGAGAAGCCAGGTAATAGTGGCTCAGTGTGGGGGAAGGGAAGGTACAGGGGTGGTTGGTGGCAGTGCTGAAGCTAAGGGGGGCATTCGATAGGGGACAAAAAATATTATTACTGGGCTGGGGCAGGTGGCACCGCTCCCTGCCTCCACCAGCACTGCATTTAAAAAAAAAAATTTGATTCATATAAGTGGTCCGGAGGATTCAAAATGATGAATTTAGTGGTCCATGAGGTCCCAAAGGTTAGCGACCGCTGATAGAGGAATTTGCTTAAATTGGACTCCAAAAAGGGTTAATAGAGCTAGGGCAACTGTTTGGGAGGGGCTAGACACAAAAAACATAAGCAAACATTCGCTAAATCTCATTCGCTGTGGTGTGCTCTTGCTATTCATAGTGATTGATTCCCCAAGGCCTGACAACATGCTTTAATTAAAAGGAAGCTGTTACATAGTGGCATGATTAACTGCAGTATAACTAGTATCGAGTTGCTGTGAAGCCTTTTACTCCTGAGACATTCTTATCAACCAAAGCTCAAATGAATCCACTGCTGTTGGCTACTTCTCGTCAATACTTCTGTTTGGACAAGAATACTGACAGTCAAGATAAGTTCTCACTTAAATTCCACTTCTGTGTCTAAAAGCATGCAGTAAAACATACAAGCAATGCCCAAGTATATGAATCAAATGTCTAGGAATACAAATACTGGAAAAAAAAATCATAATTTAAAGAGATCCAATCAATTTGATATCTGAAGATATATATTTATTTTTAAAAAGACCTCCTATTTAGAATTCTGGTGACAGCAATGCAAAAGTACTGACCATAATATACAAATATAAACAGTAATATAATGACTTTTTGACATATTTAAAGGGCAACATCACTTTCATTAAAAATATAACAAATAATTACTACAACAGCTATTTTAGGGTCAATTCGCTAAAACTGGAAATGAGCCCAACAGCTGATGCCAATTACAACCATTGAGACTTAACCTTTCACCTTATAGAAACATTCAGGGCAGGTTCACACCATTTTCCGGACCAGATCTGGACCTGCCCGCAGCTCCAGTGCATTCCAGCATTGCCTGCAGTATTTTTCTGGTCTTGTCTGGAACGGACTGTGCTGGTGTAAACAGAGGCCAGAAATTGCATAGGGATACATTAGGATGCATTTTGGGTCCAGAAACAATCTGGTATGGTCTGGAGATGATCTGGATGTGGTGTGAATGAGCACTAAACTATTCTCATTGGTCACTATTGGCAACAACTTATACGTAGGGAAAATTTTCTTTCCTTTCATTTTGATTAATCATTTCCTATTCTTCTGTTTACTAATCATAAAATGTACTATTACTTTTCTTTATTTCAATCTACAGCCAGGTATGAATTTCTAAAACCCTAGTGAATGGAAAACAAATATGGGTCATAAAAATCCTCCCAGCTTCCTGATTGCTCGGGAAGCCGGCTCCATTCTAGCGGAAGTACTGGTATTGGTACTCTGTATTGGCAAGAACCGAAAGATAAATATCGGTACTCGTACTCTATAACGCAAAAAACGCTATTAGGTGCATCCCTAGTGAATATAATCTAGAAATTTAAAATCTCCAACATCTCAAAAAACATTGATACCACCAAAGATCTGTTAAAAGACTGGCTACTTACCAGCATTGGTATTTGATCCTTGCAGCAAAACTGTTAAAGTTTCCATCACCACGAGTGCCAATTGCCTTTGTTCCTCTGATGACTGTATTACAGTTGTACACCCCCCTTAGGAAAACAGGTAAACTTTAGATTAACCAAACAAAACAAAAAAAAGAGTAAAATATGTAGAACAAGTATACTATCCTGACAATAGTCAGTACATTATGTTAAATATGTTTAATTAATGAAAAGGTAGACCCCGGTCTAAACCACAAATGCAGGCAGCACAGTGGCGTAGTCTGGCAGCACAGTAGCGTAGTGGTTAGCCCTTCTGCCTTGCAGCACTGGGGGTCTCTGGTTGGAATCCTGGCCAGGTCACCATCTGCAAAAGGAGTTTGCATGTTCTCCCTGTGGTTGCGTGGGTTTGCTCTGGGTAATCCGGTTTCCTCACACACACCAAAGACATGCTGGTAGGTTAATTGGCTCCTGTCTAAACTTGCCCTCATATATATATATATGCATGTGAGATAGGGACCTTAGATTGTAAGCTCCTTGAGGGCAGGGACTGATGTGAATGTGCACTGTGAATGATAATGTAAAGCTCTGTGTAAATTGTCTGCGCTATATAAATACCTGTTGTAAATAAATAAATGAAGCCTAAAACAACTCCAGCCAAAAGGCAACAAGATAAACATTCATAGCCCATTAAACGATAAAATAAAAAAGCAGGTTTGATACAAAATGTTCTTTTACAATCTGGAGGTCTATCCCTTAGTACTTTTTTGCACCAGAAGATGTCCCTAGTCTGATGGCCAGCATCCTAGGACCTTCTTTCGATGAGGCAGTCTTGGCTGGGGCCTGCCCAGAACATTCTCAATAAGCATCCCAGGTTTAAGTCCAAAATTCTGAACGATGTTATGAAATCTGAAATATTGTTTATATATTTCAATCCCCCCCTTTCCCCGGTCGGGGAGAAAACATGTTAGGGTTGGTGGATTATAGGGACTATGTAGCATGGCTAGTGCTAATAAAGTTGGTTTTATTCACTGAACTCAACAGTGTGCGGCTGCTTTGGCATTTTTTAACCATGGTGCCCTACTTCTGAATACCCTCAGGAACCATGAGAAGAAACTATATGCCTACAGGGCAAGGCTGGCCAATCTCAAGAATGATTAGAGGAGGAGCAACCCGAGGCTTCCCTGAACATACACATGGCTCCAAAATAATGGGAGTTATTTCTGGAATCCTTTACTAAATTCACCCTCTGACCTGGAAGCTTCCCCCCTACTTTCATCTAGAGGGCACATCAGGCTCCACCTAAACCCCCAATCCCTGGGAAAAACCCTAGAATGGTGATTGCAAAACTTCTAAATTAGAGACAAGGTTGCTATTAGGGTTGCACAGATACCAAGTACAGTACCGATACTTTTGAGCTCCAAGACTAGACTAGAGAAAAATTCAAAAATTAGGAGGCAGCTGTCATTTGTAAGGAGCACACGGAGCTCCTGCGATTTGTACATCTCTGTTTAAATACCGAGTATTTGGGCGAGTACTCGTACTTGCCCAAATGCTCCAATACCTTTCCCGATACTAGAACTTCCGGTCAGAGGAAGATTTCCTCTGACTGGCAGTGCCGCGAGGAAAGATGGAGCCGGAAAGCTCCATCTGGCTGGCTTGATGCTGATTGGCCGGGAAGCCGGCTTCCCAGCCAGTGTCGAGCCGGGCAAACAAATCTGTTAATATAGCGACACGACCCCCACCCTGCAGGTACCCAATTCCCCTCACATAGATCCTTAGCATTCAGTTCCTCGGCCAGATCTGCCGTCTCCTGTGTGCACACTGCACAATGCTCACGTGATCAGCGTTCAGCCTGCTACTGTGCAGGATTTCTGAATGAAAGCACTGGGCAGTCTGCGCATGCGCAGTAGCAGGCTGAGCGCCAATCACGTGGGCGCTGTACACAGGAGACGTGGGGAGATCTTGGAGAGCGGTGTCTGCCCACTTGGAGCGCGCTGGCCGAGGGACTGGTACGTTAATGAATGCGATACGGATCTATGTGAGGGGAATTAGGTGTCGGGTCGTGTCACCATATTGTCAGATCTGTTTGGCCGGCCTCAATGCTGATTGGCTGGGAAGCCGGCTTCCCGGCCAATCAGCATCCAGCCGGCTAAACAGAATGGAGTCGGCTTCCCGGGCAATCAAGAAGCCTTACTGGCTTCCTAATTGCCCGGGAAGACGGCTCTATGCTACCGGAAGTGCCGGTATCGGTACTCGGTATCGACAAGTACCGAAATCTATGATTTTGTTTTTATAAATATAAAAACAAAATATAAATATAAAGGGATGCACAAATGCCAGTTATGTAAATAGTACAATGTCCTTATCTGAGCACAAGTGCAGTTTAAAAGGTATAACAACGTATTACAAACAAAAAAGCCTTATTGCATTTTTAAATAATAAAACAAAGTGTTTAGGGTCCTACCTTGATCGATATAGGCTTGGGCTGGGTCTTTCAGCACAGCAGCATATTTGTGCAAAAGATTGACCATGACCTCCAGAAGTCCCACCTCTTTAAAGACATCTTTAAAGATGTGATGGTGTCGTATAAACTTGAGAAGTGTCTTAGTAGCTATGATACTGCAGGAGAATGAAGTGTTGGACTTCAAAAGAATGCTGACACTTATCAATTCTTTGCAAGGAATATAGTTCAAGCTGAACACCAAAAACTCAAGCATCTCAAAGTATTTCACCTGCACATCAGGAAACTTGGTAATCTTTTCTGCAAATTGGGAAAGTGTATGCTGAGGCTCCAGGATAAAGTAATTGGCATTGTCCGACATATAAATATTTGTGATGGAATCCAGGATAATCTGTGCAAGGTAGCAGGTCTTTGCCTTAAGAAATGCATTTTGTAGAACGGAGAAGGCTTGGATGTTCCTCACACTTAAACCTGCAACCAAAACAACAAATAACCTCAAAATCCTAATAAGAAAAATTGTAGTAGAAAAACATGAAAGACTGGGCTGTTTCATACCAAGATGAACATCTGGTACACACAGGCCACAAAAATATTAGTTGAGTGCATCTTCAATTCTTGCTGCCTGATCCCTTATTTTTGATACTTGTCATTACTACTAAACTACATACACAATCTAACCTGCTGCTCCTCTGCTGGACTGGTAAGTCTACACCAACTATTTAGTGAATGTTGCATCTTATTTTTTTTGTTTGCAATACTGCATATGCAACTCTAGCAAACAAAGAAGTCTTGGCAATTATAAAATAAAAAAAAAGTCTAAATGCAGAAAACTGGATGACTGCCAATGCAGAGCAAAACCACCAAAGTGAGATGTAGGGGAATTTAGTATGAACATTACACTATGCGGTACAGCTTTGCCTCTTCAGAAACACATCTCTAATTGTACTTTTATGCATTATCGACTTGGCACCAGGTTTCCATGTAGCTCAAAGTTATTTCCGTAGTACAGAATTTAAGGCTGTTATCATTTGGATAAAATGTAAATGGCAAGTGACTTACCTTTTCCGGCAGGCTGTGGGACAGAAAAGCCTGGCAATAAAAAAGGTGCCCCTGTAGTTAAACCAGCTGGTTTCAGTTCATTGACACCATATGTTGTTAAAGAAGTAATTAGGTTAACCAAGTCCTTTAGCGCATCTTTGGATTCATTCTCTTTAGCTTGCTCTAGCCTACAGGAAAGACAACATAAAAAATTTTCCTCAGTGCTGTATGCATCCAATTTTAGCTAAAAATAGATCATAATATTACTTGATCAGCAATGAAAGACATATGGCGCCTGGGGGAAAGTATACATACACATTTATAGTCGTACTTTTTCAGGTCTACACAAACATGTCGAAATGTCTATGCTAAATGACATTTAAAATGTTAACTTTGTGAAACATTTGGTTTAAACAATTAGTATGCAACTTTAACCAACTCTGAAAATCACATGATAAAGAGATTAGTTTTAAAAACAGCGTTTTATTTTCTTAACATGTGTAGTTTAAAATAATCACAGACTGAAAGGTATAGGTGTTGCTTTTAAAAGCCAAGTCATTGGCTCCCACCATTACGAGCTCTGTAAATGCGCAATGCCCCAGTACAAAAAAAGCTCATGGGTAAAAGGACCTACGGCTAGGTTAACACCACATTATACACGGCAATTCATGTTTTTGTTTCGGATGCTTTTTAGACACACTATAGACACCGTTTAGCAGGACAGAAGCCCAATTAGTAGCTAAATTCCGGTCAGATCTATAAAACTCAAAGAGCTGGAAAAGCACCCCAATCTTCACTGTTAGCAAACTTCTGTAAACCCTGTACAATAGGACTCGCTCACAAAAGGTTGGTCAGCACTAGCAAACCAATCGGCATCTACATTAGTGCACACATGATCACAGAAAGAATGGCTGACAGAATGAGTTGATCTTCAACCCCTTTACAGCTGGAGTAGTGCCTAGACTAGTCTCTTTATTGCGTAACCGCAGTGTAGTCTGTAGAGAAATCTTGGGAGTACATAAGGACCGGTGTCTCTGGGATTTTAGGCTTGTATCGACTGCAATAGGTCATTCAGAATTCAATGACAGGTCATTTTGGCATTTAGCTAACCTTCTCCTGACCTGCTTCATGTGGGCTTTGCATTCTCATAGACTTGTAAGGGGATGCAAAACCTGTTTGAAATGAAGAAAAGCCTGTTGACACCCTAACCTGGCTGTGTGGTCTGGCAAAGGTGTCAGACTGCATCGATTTACTGATTAAACAGTTCAGAAATATGGATTTCAGCCTTGTATTTAGATGTCTGCCTTGAGTTCAGCTTTAAGAAGTGTATTTTCTCATATGATCACAGAAGACTATCTGGAGCAGATCTGCAGACGCGGTACTATGCCTTTGCCGCGATTTGTTTGGAATGGGGCTGTCAATATGTTAGCTGCGTTCGTGCGTTTCCTGACCATATCCAGACCGGACAAAATGTGACATGCAGTATTTTTTCTGTCGTGACCTGAACGGACTGCGCACGTGAGAACTGTAGCCCATAAAACACATAGGGATACATTGGTATGCATTTTTAGTGCAGGAGCGCACGGATCTAGTCAGGACAGAATCTGGACGTCGTGTGAACAAGCCCTAACTGAGATCAATGCTTACAACTTGACACCATATTTCTATTTTAAATGTTTCTGATATACGGTTAGAACAATGTATAAATACTCAATACATGTGTCATTTACATCTCTGTAGGCACTTCTTCAGTTTAATTATATATTTTATCATATTTAACAGACACCAATTATACAATTCCTTCTACTTGATAATTCAGTGTTATGAAAGGACTTTTCTTTTTTCTTTTTTTACTTTACCGCCATAGTGCAGAACACTTTGCATGTTAATTTAGTAGTTCAGATAACAAGTACCGAACTTTTCCAGCTCCAAGACTAGACTAAAGAAAAAAATTCAAAAGTTAGGAGGCAGCTGTCATATTTAAAGGAACATACGAAGCTCCTCGGATTTGTGCATCCCTGTTTTAATATAGGATTACATTACATTATATATATATATATATATATATATATATTTTATATTTAACTGGGATCATCAATAATACTATACTGAACCATCAGTTACAGACAAAACAGGATCTGCATAGTGCTGGACTGAGAAAAATTAGTCTGGCTTATAAAGAACTGTAGCTCACACTAAGGGGTCTATTTATAAACAATATGACGAGCCATTCGCCCTACAAATCTCTGTAAACTTTTGCTCGAATGGAGGCAAAAGTGAAAATTATTAGTATATTTTCTTTTCTGGTGCAATGTAATATTCAGAAAATACAGCATTATGACTGCTAGATGGCATTGAGGAGCATAGAAAAGAAGAAGTATTTATTCTCCACCATCTAGTTACCAACGACCTGACAAAAACTGAGGGAATCTTCCCAATAGATAAACACATGGCAATAATAAACACGACTCTAACTCTTCCATGCTCTATCAAAGACTAAATGAAGAGCTTTTGTTGGAGCTGGGCTGAAGGTTGGCCACTGATGAGATATCTGGCCATCTTTATACAACTCAAATGAGCACTGGAGACCTGTTGCAACACTCACCCATGATGACAGGGGTACATGGATAGTATTTGGATTCTTTACAAATTAGATATACACCAATCAGCCATAACATCGTGACCACAGACAGATGAAGTGAACAACATTGATTATCTTGTTATATTGGCACCTGGAAGCGGGTAGGATGCAATAGACAGCAAGTGAACATTTTGTTTCTGAAGTTGATATGTTGGATCAGAAACATTGGGCAAGCGTAAGGATTTGAGTGACTTTGGCAAGGACTGGTTAGAAGACTGGGTCAGAACTCCAAAGCTGCAGCTCTTGTGAGATGTTCCTGGTCTACAATGTTTAGGACCTACCAAAAAGTGGTCCAAGGAAGGAAAACTGGTGAACCAACGACAGGGTTCTGAGCCGCCAAGGCTCATTGATACACATGGACAGCGAAGGCTGACCTGTGTAATCCGATCCAATAGAGGAGCCCAGCGGCAGCAGCCCAATAAACCACGGTCACAAAATGGGAGAAACTCTTACTTTTATCAAGCCATCCATGATAGGCTTAAAGTGTATTTCCACTTTTGCAGCCAAATTGGGGGAACACCAATTTTATATTTGTTTGTTAAATGTTTCTCATTCACATAGCATAATTTAAACAAAAATCAACTGCTGCTTGCATAAGGGCCGATGCAGACCTGAGCGATCCGGGATCGCGCGGTCATGCACAACTGCAGACAGCGATTGCTGTGCGGCCCTATTGATTGCAATGGGGTACATCTGCACAGCAATCCCAGAAAAAAAAGGTACATGTACCTTTTGTTTGCGATACACGTCGCACGGCTGTTTTAGCCACGATTCTGTTCGGTTGCATGGGTGGAATCATGGCAGGAAACCTTGTGATCCGCCCGGTGCGACAGTTGTTAACTAGATTTGATGTTAATGAGGGGGAGCTCAATCTGTCCTTAGTCTGTTGGGACAGTCAGAGTTTCTGGTTAGTGAAATTGAGAGAGAAGTTTGCAAAGCCTTGCAAAATAGAGATATCCAATAGGTAAAAAATATTTGTTTTATTAAAATTTTTAGATATGGTGTGTGAATAGGAACACTTAGCAAACATATAGAGGCATGTTCTCAATTTTGACTGCAACAGTGGAAATACACTTGAAGTGCAATTCCAGCCAATAAAGTTTTTGTTCTTTTGAACAAAAAATGGGAAAGCGATAGAACCTCTGTTGATTTTGTTTTTTTTTGCTGTCTTTGTCACTTTTTGGGAGATTTCCTCTCACTTCTTGTTAGGACAAAAGTTAAAAGAAAGCTGTCCAACAGGGACACCAACAAGAACACATTCTTAGTAGAGTAAGAAAGCTTTAGACCTTCTGACAATGTGTTTTTTCCTTTGCCTTCCTGCCTTAATGACAACTTCATCCCCCCATTTCCCTAAAAAAAGCCTGACATTTTAACTCTTCTCCACTCTATCACATCTTTTTTTTAATGCCTTTCTGGCTTAAAGAGACTTTGTCTATAACAGAAGCACACAGTAGTGGCACAGGGGTGGGTACAGCGAATTAATGCGGTCGGAAAACCAAGAGATCAACATTCCTTGAAGTGACAGTTTCTGAAGATACGTCAGTCAACAATTTCTCTTCATCAGAGCGGCATTTGGTGGCATAGGCAGGGGAAGAGGTAAATATTCACTTGCTTCTTTCTACTGGCAGTTCTACTTTAGCAAGGGAGTTGCTTTAATTTGCTACAGATTGGATTTGATGCACGTTAAACTGATAAAATGTCTATCCACAGCTAGGTATTCACACTGGTAAAAAAGCTGTCACAACTCAGCTAGGGCTTTTCATTGTCCAGACTACATACATAGCTGTCCACCATTTCCCTTGTCTTGTTTGCTTTAGTGTCTGAGGCATCAGGCACCTGTGCGATAAGCACCTTTTGTCAAAACATAATTGCTGTTGCAGTCTGGTTACCGCAATGTTCTGATAAACACAACATTGGGTACAACTGAAAGCATCCATTTTCCCATCCGTACTGACATGAATCAGTGCTATAAAACCAGTGGATGTCTGGATCTATAAACTGAGGGATTACACAGAACAAACATCTGCACTCAGTAGCTGCTTACCATTTATAAAATATTAGCGGCTATGCAGTTTGCATTGTCCAGTCACTTAAAAGGAGTAAACAGGTATTATAAATTGTCTTTTTTTTTTTTGTTAACAGAAGGTGGTGCAATGCACGCAATAAAACATAAAATAGTTTCTAAATTGGCAAAGTGAAAGGGCATCTTTAAGATATGCAATTTTTTTCTGTTTTTAACTGTCTGTTACAGATTTTAAAGAGGAACTCCAGGTATGCAAAAGGTATTCCTTGCAGTTGGGCTACCCTGCACTGCAAGGGTTAACAGTTTTTCTCTACGGGCCGGGAAAAAAAGGAGAGCTTACCGCTCTCCCCTCTACTTCTTCTCCTTCAATCCAGTAGAATGGACTGTATTAGAGGTGGTATTATTGTCACCGCTTCGACTGCCAGAGCCTGGGGGAGATTGACTGGAGGGACCAGTCTAACAGTCGAGGATTGGGTTTTATTTGAGCCTCTAGAGGAAAAGCAAGCAGTTAACCATTGCAGTGCCTAAATTATATATATACAAACCAGGAATGGTGGGCTGCACATATCCACTCTATTGCTTTATATTGGGTGCGTGCCACTAGTGCATTCCAGTGCACCAATTCCGTTTTTTCGGTATCGAGTACTGATATTTTTTTACCGCATACCGGAAGCCCCATTAAGGAAGCCGAGCGGCGTGTAATGACTTGCTGCTCGGCGTTCTGATTAGCCGCCTCCATGCTCCCTCATCACCAGGTGACGAGGAAGCATGGAGGCGGCTTTCTGGCCAATCAGGAAGCCAGGCAGTGTAAAATGACTCGCTCAGCTCAGAGGAAGTGAAAAGGACACTGCATGTCTGGCAAGATCTACAGGTATCTTTTGTATGGTTTGAAAATTTAGAAATGAATGCAGCCACCACATCTAAGGACGGGAAAGCTTCAATATATTACATTTTTTTGGGGTTCACATTATTTATTAGACATGTGCACCAGCAAAAAATTTGTTTCGATTCGGATTTTGCTTTAATTAGTTTTTTGGAATTCAGGTCCAAAAATCAATTTCTTTCGGAATTCGGATTAGTTAGCGGAAATCCGTGCGAAATTTTGTTTCCAATTCGTTTCGTTTTCGTTTGTTGTAGCACAGTGACAACGAAATATCATCCAAAAAAAACAAAGTTCGTCCAAAAAAAACGAATCGGAAATTCGGAATCGTTTGAATTCGTTATACCTTTAATTCGGAATTCAGATATATCCGAATTTACGAAATTTTGTCTGAATTTCGATTCGGAACGAAACGAATCGCACATGTCTATTATTTATCCATTACCCTTCTGAAACATTAACATATACATCTGCAAACACAACTAGTAGCTTTTCATACATAAACCAATTTGTAATCTTGGTTTACTGGCCATTTGACATGCTGTATAACCTATTAAAGTGTAAGGTTAATAGAAGATCAATCTGTTAATAAGCATTCACCTCAGCAGGAGGTCGGAGAGGAAGACATATCCTTGGCACGTCCTGAAGTCATCCAGCAGTGTCTGAGACACATCACTGGAGTCTTTGAGAAAGCAGGAAAGACCAGCAAACATCTCCACAATTTCAAGGGGGGACAGGTCATTTGACTGCTGCATATTCTGCACACATGTGGCCAGGCATTCTTTCTCTGAAAAGACAAAAAGAAACAAGAAACATGGGAAAAGCACATGACACAATATTGTCACACAGTACAAAGTCACAAAATACATGTAACTTTTTATTTAATGCAACTCCATGTACTAAGTAGGCAGCATGTGTTTTCTTTTGAGGAATGACTCAGTCACTCCAGTATGGAAAAACCAGTGTCAAGGCAAAGGAATTGATGAGGCTGGTTATTTCTCAAGCGAACAGCAAAACCTTAGCGAGGCTCATTTTTTATTTTCCAGCACACAAAGCAGCACAGGCTTATGAAATGTCATATGATTTTTGTGTGTGTGTGTGTGTTTAGATGGAGGACTGCATTAGATATAGAACATGCAGTTTGAAGGGAATAAAAACTTGAACATAAGGTCTGCCTCTAATTCTTCATATCTGACCTTTAATATATCCCTAAGATGATGAGACATAACAAGCCTTATTTCACTATTTTAGGTTTAAATTCTTGTTTCCTAGAACAACCAAACAGAATTAAAGTTTCATTTCGACTCCAGGATGCAAAATTGACAGCCAGAAGCTTATAGGCTGCCAAAGGCTACACATTTTTTTTTTTTCCTGTAGAACACTTTTTATACACCAACCTCTTCAAGACTATAGATACTGCAATTTCTGAAAGTTGTGGGGGTTTTTCTGCGATGATCTGCATCTATTTCTTTAATAATGCCACATAAGTATACATTTTTAGTGCAGCAGCAGCGCATAAGCTCTATATAAAAAAAAAAACCTCACCCTCTCACTTAGCCTAAATGTGGTGAAATACCCTCTCACTGGGACAGGAATTGACAGGTGATCTTATGGTTAGCTCACACCATAAGCAGTGCGTTCTGGTCCGATTCTGGCCATTCACTTCAATGGCTCGCCACACCACCCCGTCCCACTAAAAACTGAGCCGGCCGCAATGAGAGGCAGTGCGTTCTCGCCAGAATTGGGCCGGAACGCACTGCAACTGGTGTGACCAGGCCCTAAGTTCAATGCTCATCAACAGACATTGTTGTGTCAATCTTCTAATGGGTTATGTAAAACTGAGAGCATTTTCCAATTCTTTGGGAGATGTCTCTTCAATTCCAGACACAACAGGAAGGGAGTCAAAATCTCTTCAAACAGGACAAAAACAGCATAAGAAAATAAAAACACCTGACAGGGGCGTCCCTACTTGAGAGCTTCCTATTGGCTAGTTCCTTCTGCTACCCTTCATCTCTACTGACCAATCACTATGATGTGCTGCCTGAATGACCAATAGGAATGTGCAGGAGGCAGGATGGGGCAAGCAAGCTTCAGCACTGTCAGAATGTGCTGAAGCTTTGCCCGTCAGAACACTGGGTTTGAGCAATTCAGGAGATACTGAAAACCGCTCCAGGTTTGTGCAGACTCTGCCTGCGCATCACACCTCTCAGCAGCTTTGTGTGTTCCTAAAGTCACAGTGTCTCTTTAAATGTAAATACTTACCATGTATGTATTTCACCACATTTAGGCTAAGCCCATGTCGTGAAATGGTCATTAAAACTTCACCAGCACTTTTTCTCCAGGGAAGGTTGTATGGAGGGCACCAGGATGTTATTGCACTAAAGAGGAGTTGAAGGTCATCTTTCTGAGCCAGCTCCTCTGCTGGAGATACATAGTTGCACAACTTCACTAAAATCTGAAATAAACAATGATAGAATTAGGAAACATACCACATGGTTCATATTAATATCCAATAAAACAAATACATTTCAAATTGTCCAAAAGAAATAAAGTAGTTAAAGCTATATGTATAAATATACACTATATTGCCAAAAGTACTGGGACGCCTCCCTTTACACGCACATCCCAGTCTTAGTCCGTAGGGTTCAATATTGAGTTGGCCCGCTCTTTGCAGCTATAACAGCTTCAACTCTTCTGGGAAGGCTGCCCACAAGGTTTAGGAGTGTGTCTATGGGAATGTTTGACCATTCTTCCAGAAGCGCATTTGTGAGGTCAGGTACTGATGGATGAGAAGGCCTGGCTCGCAGTCTCCGCTCCAATTCATCCCAAAGGTGTTCCACCGGGTTGAGGTCAGGACTCTGTGGAGGCCAGTCAAGTTCCTCCACCCAAAACTCGCTCATCCATGTCTTTATGGACCTTGCTTTGTTCAATGGTGCACAGTCATGTTGGAACAGGAAGGGGCCATTCCCAAACTGTTGCCACAAAGTTGGGAGCATGAAATTGTCCAAAATGTCTTGTTATTCTGATGCCTTAAGAGTTCCCTTCACTGGAACTAAGGGGCTAAGCCCAATCCCTGAAAAACAACCCCACACCATAATCCCCCCTCCATCAAACTTTACACTTGGCACAATGCAGTCAGGCAAGTACCGTCCTCAGACTCAGACACATCCATCGGATTGCCAGACAGAGAAGTGTGATTCGTCACTCCACGTCTCCACTTCTCTAGAGTCGAGTGGCGGCGTGCTTTACACCACTGCATCCGACGCTTTGCATTGCACTTGGTGATGTAATGTCTACGCACTGTTGTTGTGCCAATCTGAAGGCCCCACAAAGTTTGGAGGTCTGTAGCTATTGACTCAGCAGACAGTTGGCGACGACGTGACGGCGTCACGTGCTGACCCTGCTCTGTCATTTTACGTGGCGTACCACTTCATGGTTGAGTTGCTGTTGTTCCCAGTTGCGTCCATTTTTTCATAGTACCAGTAACAGTTGACTGTGGAAAATTTAGTAGCAAGGAAATTTCATGCAAAGCCTAAAACAAAAGATTTGCAGGGGTGTCCCAATACGTTTGGTAATATAGTGTATGTGTGTCAATAGAAAACTCAGGGAGTTATAATTGCACCCACAGTTGCCATTATGCAAACCAGCAATATAAAGACTCTGTATACTAGTCTGTTGCATAGTGATTGCTCTTTGCACTCAATATGCAACTATGGGGAAATCTCATCTGGAACATATGCACACACTAGCAGGCAACACAGGAAGTGAACACATGAAGATTTTTTTTTTTTTTTTAAATGAAAAGAGCAATCACCTAATAAATAATTTATCTGGCATTATGCAGTTGTCCATAAATTCAGTCTTACAGCTAGCAAAAATAAAAGGAATACGTGTGCACATTTAAAAAATAATATGCACAGATAACGTGAGTTTCCTTCATACAGTATACCTAGCATATTTTTTTTTTAACTATAGTCCAGTTGTCCTTAAAAGGATGAGAGAGTTTAAATAACGGTTTTCACTATGATCCTAAACAGCTTTCATCTCCTGCTCATCTACTGGTCCTGTGAACAATCTCTGGTCCTTCAGGTATGCAAAATCTTTTGAGTAACACAAGAAATGTTCGTAGATGTGCCAATCTTTCTTGATTTTGCTTTAAAGCGCAACTCAAGCCAAAACTTTTGTATTTAGTTTTTGATAGATGTGAGAGAGATTAGAAAACCTGTCAGGTTTTTATTGCTGTGTGTCCCTTTTTGGGAGATTCACCCTCTCGATTTGTGCTGCTGAACGTTATCATTACAAGGAGAAAGACAATTCCAATATTGGGTTGTCACCAGAACAAGAATAGGTGGGAAATCTTCCAAATGGGGATATTCGTTCCGGTGATCCTGTTGACCACCAAGAAATTACTCTGACTTCCTGTTGTGGCTATTAGATTGGAAGTGAAGGAAAATCTACCCAATTGGGATTCAATGACAAAAAAGGCTGTCAAGGGTTATACCACTCCTTTATTCTATCCAAAATTTAAAGAGAAAGGTTTGATTTAATTTCTACTCTAAAGATGCAGGTGGCAGTAGCAGAGTCATTATGTGTAGAAAGCACAGATGTATAAAGTGAAACAAACCCAGCTTAGACAGTGAAAGGGACAGCGTTACCGACCAACATATCAGAGAAAACGCTTCCATTATTTCATGAAGACTATGCTGTCAAACACTTACATGGGATCCTCTACCTACATCCATCCAACATCCCACAATGACATTTCCCCCTCTCTCACTCCTATTATTGTCTTTTTATTGGATTGAGACAAGACAGCTTTCATTAGCCTCCTGTACAGGAGATTTGGTGCTATACTTTAAGTCTTTTGAGGCAAGCAAAAAAGGGTTGTAAAACACTAAACTTCAAGACACAAGAGGATTACCAAAGACCTATGAGTCACAACTTACTTGGAGCGTGTCATCTAGAAACAGAATACAATTTTGTTATTGCACACTCAAACCAGCTTCATTTCAAAATAATTTTGTGTTATTTTACTTATTTATCATAAAGCTTTAGGCGATACAATAATGCCATACAATGTCAGCGTTCTTGCTGGAAATTTCCCTGGTAATACAAGCAAGGCACAAGCATGTAGGAGAAACAGTGACACCAATTTTAATGAAGATGAAGTTCTTAAACTAGGTCTGAAAATTCTCATTTAGACTCAGAATAGTCATTGAGGCAGATGGCTTATCAAATATTCTATTAAGAAATTGCAGCGGGGATATTAAACAGATCGATAAGTGCAGACGCCAGATGGAAATAACTATTGCAAAGGCAGCAGTATGCGTAATGATTTCTGATGTAGATTCAGTTTAAGTGTTTGCTCCAACTAAACCAAAACCAACGGATTCCTGGTATTCCAAATGCAAGTGCTGTTCAGACAAATCACTTTAATGCCTGTGTGCCAGGGAGTCGACATTAATGGTTTAACCTCTGCAGAGCTGCAGAAGGTTCTGCATGTAACACAGCTGACTTATCTAAAGAACTATTTAAACTCTGGTTTCTGTGTGGCCTGTGACTCTTGCAACCAGTATTGTTTCGACAACTGAACTCCACACATAATGGAGTAAAGAAGCCAAAAAGTATTTTAAGTTACTGCGAGAGTATTCTTCATCTCTGTATATTTTTGGATCTTTTATACGATTTCAATGGTTTTATTGTGGGTTTTCAAAAAAGATACAGACACATAAGCCATATCTTCAAAACCTAAATATATATTTTGTACAGATGGAGAATAATTACACCTCTGATACAATTTATCTTCTTTGTACAATTGTTGTAGTATTAGCCCCCTTTCACATGGGTGTTTCGATCAGCGTGGGATCTGTGCACAGGTCCTCTGCTGATTGGAGCAGTACAGAACGGATGTCACTCTTGACATCCACGTCCGTTCAGTTTTTTTTTTCCTCTCTCTTACGTGGGAGGAAAAAACTGACCTAACTGGACCCATTTTAGCTGTATGGGGAGTTGAATGTAAGCTGGCCTGCGTCTGTTTACATCTGATTACCTCCTAGGTGTCCCATTCAGGTCTGCCAAAATGGACCTTTTTTTTTTCCGCCTGACCTAGATGGACTCAGAGGTATTGGGAGGTAAATGGATGCAGGTCCATTTTTATTCAACTCACCCGACTAACATTGAATGCCTGAAAAACTGACCGGCAGATCTGATCAGACTGCCTGGGTGAAAGGGGCCTTAAAGACACATTATTTGCAATCATAGACAGAGGAACAATATTTTAGTAGAATTTCTGATGCACAGATAAGAAATATCTCCCGATTGTGTTTCAGGCAGGATGATGTAGTTTGTTGGTTTGTTTGTGCCATGTGGGTTGGAGAACCCACATGGCACAAACAAACCAACAAACTACATCATCATCTTGGTCTACAAACTATATCTATCTTGGTCTAGATCACAATAAAACTTCAGGTGTTGAGCAAAACAATTAATAAAAAAGGGACAGGAAAGAAGAGGTGCCAATCTAGTTTTTACACAATTATACTGGTAAGCAAGTGAATAGAGATGATCAAAATTTAAAGTTTTCTTTTCCTGGACATTTTGGTGAAAATAGGGAGATTTATGCACATTTTTGCCATTTTGGCAAACTGTATTGGAGTCAATAGAGAATGCAATATTTTGCTGGTTCTCTCCTTTCAACTCTCCTGAACATGTTCATGTGCTAGAGAACCACCCCTTAATTGTAGCATAACTTTTAAAAGAAATTAAAACAAAAAAAGAAAATAAGAGTGCCAATACTAAAAAACAATTCAATAGTCAAAAAAGGAAAGGAAATACACAAATACAAAAAACACAAACTAAATAAAGCTAAATTAAATTGATATTAAAACTCTCGGGTTTCTTTTGTTTAGGTTTTTCCTTTTATGGGGGCCAGACTTGCTTTAATACACTTTTATTCTTAAAATTTTTTATTCCCTTCTCCTCCTCTATTGGTATCTAAACAGCTAGAACCCCCCCCCAATACAGGTGCCTGCTTCAGCTGGCCAGCTGCTGTGGAGGCACCCGTGTGTGCACTCTCGCAGCTGTGCCCACACCTAGCTGTGTGCGTTTATAGACACACACCACACAAACATAGCGTGTGGCCAGCCACGCCCCCACTCTTGCAGTTTGACCACAGGTAAGTGTATGTGTGAGTGAAAGAGGGGGGGCTTTGGTATTAGAAAAGCATTAGGTGTTTCTTACCTTATTACAGAGAATGCATTAAGGTAAAAATACCAAGCCTTTAGTACTACTTTAATGAAAAAAGAAAAAAAAAACATTTAGTGGAACCTTTTCTTATATTTTATTAAATATCTAATAAAAAAGCGACAAGCTATATTTTTTACAAAGCAAAATCTGAAAGCATTGTACAAATCCAGATAGACATCCAAGTCAAATTTATGGATGTAATGCAGTAGTTTTAATTTGATGGGTTTAGGGACTACTCTTTAGTTTATTTATTGATATGCTTCCCGTAGTTTTCAGACATGTCTAGAAGTCTCGAAGAAATGGATGAAATAAATCAAGCGCCGATGATGAATGGTTATGCTTAGGCTCCAACAAAAGGCCATGAGCAAGAGAGAAAATTCACGAACATTAGATGATATAAAAGAGTATAAAATACAAGTGCCCTTAGCTGTATACAGCCATTTCACCACGTTGTGACCATACATATTAGGACTTTACAAGTTCAATAATATAGAAATCTCCTCTTGTGATCATGTGAGAATGGTCAGGTGTGTGTCTATTATAGGGAAACTACTATAATGGTTTTGGGGCAATTTAGTTACTTTGAGTTCTCCAAAGGGGCAGGACAGCAGAGTAGCTTGCCTTGCAGCTTAATGTGTCTGAGTTTAGACTGATTAAGTATCAGTACATGGTGTTGTAAATCAACAATAATCTAATTTCAACATATCTAAAATAGCTTAACTAAAAGTACAGTTTTTCTTTAAATGACCCCCTAGCACCTTCCATACCCAGGCAGAAACTTAGCAGTCTGTTGACCATGCAGCGCAAAAAGAAAAAGGGTGTATCTAATTTAAGTAAGGGCATGACTTGTTTATTATGGCTGCCCCCGCCATCAGTGAAGGGAGAACTGTACTAAAAGTGCAGTTACCCTTTATAAAAAATGAAGCACAATATATTGGCTGGCCTGAAAGAAACAAGGACTTCTCAATTAAAAAAATGCAAATTCTGCCTCACTGATATTTATGCATATAGCAGCCAAGCTTTTCACTTGCTACTCACTCTCATCTCTATGCCAGAACTTCTTACCACTGCACCGCCCAGAAACAAAATCGCTCAAATTAAGGAGGAGGGAATTCATTCTTGCTCTCACACAACTGTATGAAAAAGAGGAGGCAAACAGAGAAAAAAGGAGGCAGGCAGAGGAGGTGAATGTTTTTGAAGGACTCACTGCACGGCACATGCGCAAGGAGTGTTATAGAATGAGACTTGCAAACGTGCACAGTCCGCTACTTCAGTGCAGGGTGATGCAAATCTGGGGAGTTTCATGGAGATGCGGGGTACATTAAGAGACGGCTGAGCTTTCTGGGAGATACAACATCACAGCCTCAAAAAACTTGCGCTAACCTGTCCTCTCTCCTCCACCGGGAGCCACTTCATCCAATGCCTCCCAGCCAGGCTCTCTCCTTCTGTTTACACACAGAAGCTTAAGCAGAGGTCTCTATCATGAGCCCCGACGTTGGCCAACTTCTCCAATTTAGTGAACAGTAGATTCTTTGGAGCAAGAAGAGCCAAGCTTGGAGAGATTTGAAATGCCAGCTATGCAGCCACACTGTGAAGATCCTGCAGGTGCGAGGACAGGCAAATCTATGACTTTGGGGGGTTGCCGAGTTGAGGGAGAGCCTCTCCCGGAGAGGGTACAGTTGACTGTAACGTGTACAAAAGGTGACTAGAGATTTATCTGCTGGCTGGACAAAAGTAACACATACTTGGACAATATTTCACACAATACCTACTAACTGTAAAAATAGAATGCTTTTACCTGCACAAAGACTTTCTGGAGCAAAGCTCTGCGCTCGGTCAAAGGCAGCTCATTCTCTGCTCCTCCAGGTACCTCAGGCACGTGTGGGAGGTCAAAGAACAGGTACAGGCATTTAATCAGGGTGGAAGGCACAGACATTGTTGTCATGCAGTCCACGGTTTTCTGGTTAAAAGAAATATAGAAAAATAAACAGTTATTTCAAGCAGTTTTGTCTAACAGCAGATGCGATTCAAAAAATAATTATACATTGATTTCCTTTACAGTAGATGGTCTAGCAATTTAGTGTCCATTTACTGTCTATTCTACGAAAGCTGCTAAAAAAAAAGTCAAGTCAAGTACTACTAAAATCAATAAATACAGCAGAATTTGTATTGTGGAATCAGTCATTCTGTGAGACTGCAAGACAATATTTTAAAATATGTTATTGGTACATCTACCCTGTTTCCCCGAAAATAAGACCTACCCTGAAATTAAGACCTAGTACCCTTTTTGGGAATTGCTAAAATATAAGACCGACCCCGAAAATAAGACCTAGTTGTGACCATTCTCAGGGCCAGTGGTGGCACAAGGGGGAACTTAAAGAGCTGCGGGAGAGAATCAGCGGTGCCAATGAAGCCAGCGCTAGAGGAGGAGAGCAGAGCCAATGTTTCCTCTATAGCGCCGGCTCCTGTCACATGGAGTGATACCAAATGCACTCCGCCTGTAAGGAATCTATAGTGAAAGCACGCTTCGCTCATTCTGGTTACAAAATTGCTCTTGGAAAGGTACGGCACCCCTGATTGCCCTGATCACCCTATTCTTAACTTTGCCATTTTGGATTATTTAATTTGGATTTGCGTTAAATTGTTATACATTAAAAAATAAGACCTACCCTGAAAATAAGACCTAGTGTGTTTTTTTGAGCCACAAAAAATATAAAAGACAGTGTCTTATTTTTGGGGAAACACGGTATTATAGAAGACAGCATGGGTGCGATTCAATAAGACATTTGCAACACTTTCTGGCGTTACAACCATGTTAGAAAGTCAAGCACCAAATTCACCCAAGCCTCCTGACAGTCTTCTTGCTATTTCTGACATGTGAAACAAATTCAGGGATTCTTATGTGCAACATTTTAACAGCTGCAACAAATTCATTAAGAAATGTTGGAGTAAACTGTGCTGCACTTGTAAAGGGGACAAAATTCTGTCTGAGGAAATCCTGCAACAGATCTGTATACACCTTGCAATATTAATTTATCGCAAATTGCACCACCACCACCACCAGGTAATGGACCGGCAGAGGAGCAAAGGAAAAGTGAGCATGTGCTGCTAAAGAAGGGAACTAAAACAAACTTTGCTTTGCGTGGGGAAAGAACACGTTTGCTTGACGTATATGTCAGAGCAAAATAAAAAAACTTAAGCAGTAGATCTCTGCAATGCATGCACATATCCAAGTATTTAACACTTTATAGACCCTACAGGTACAGAAATATGTCTGTTGATCTGCCAGAAATGCACTCAGCCCCTAAAAAGGTCCCCACACACCTTACGATAATGGTACGATAATCACGGGAAATCCCACGATCGTACGATTATCGTAAGGTGTGTGGAAGCCGTGCAACCTCTACTACTGTAAGGTCACACGACTTTAAACTTATGAACATGTTTCATATTCGTGAGATAAAAGCCGGGCGGGCCGGTGTGTGCAATCGCACACGGCCCATTCGGCATTGCGGTCATCGGAAACACGCCCCTCAAGGGGCGTGGCTTGCGATCTTCGCAAGTACGATCTGCCTATGCAAGATAGGCAGATCGTACGTTTTTTTAAGTACCTTACAACCATCGCAAGACAAAAGTCTTGCGATGGTTGTAAGGTGTGTGCCCAGCCTAAGTCTTGTTGTGGGCTGATTACACACAGCAGTTTTGTGAACTGGGTGGTGTCAGCCTTGCCCAGCTGTCTTTCAAACCCTCCTCCTATTCTATTTTCCACAACTATTTGTTCTGTGGTCCATTATAAGAACTGGGAGAACTAATTAACCTCCTTTAGCACATAGGAAGTTTTCACTGGATACAGGGCAGCTCTGAATTGTTGTCAAAATTCAACAAGTATTTTTTGCACATATCAAAGAGATATAATAAAACACTTTCAATGCTATATTTTACAAAGCAATTGGTATCAATTAAGGGAAGATTACTGTTCTTGTTGACATACACCTTAAAGTAGAACTATAGCCACCCATTAAAACAATGAGTCTGAAGCACTTATTTTTAAGTATATCTGCCCTCACAGTTTTATCTTAGTCCCCCTGCAAAGTCCCACAAATACATGTTAACCCTGCCAGGGAAGTCCACCTGATGCAGTTTCCTAACATAGTGTGGCAACGATGCTCCATTGCTCCTGAATTCAGAGCAGAGTTCCCACTCATGTAAGCTGTGCACTACAATGAGATCATAAAATGTTGAAGGGAGTGTGGCTATCAGCACTGCAAATCCACAAACCTGTAGCTTTTCAATAAGCACCTGGCTACACCTAGACCTGCCCACTGCTTCCTGGATTGACAGTACTACCTCTGTTGCTGAAACCCTCCCACTGAGAGTTGCAGTGTCTGGGAGGGGGTGCATAGGAGACACAAATGGATTTAGCTCAGTCAAGGATGGTAAGGAAGTATTTTTGTTTACTTTATGAGGTTTATGCATCACATTGTAACTGGATTTGGTGTTTGATTAGACTGTCATACAGGAGCATTTAGCTGCACTTTGAGCTGTAGTACCCTTGTTCATACAAGCTACACTAAACACAGCTAGAAGTGGATGTGGCTCATGCGTTACCCTAGTGCCCATGTAAGCAAACTATGTGTAGCAATGCAGTACTTTATCAAAGTTTATTTAGCTGTAATACAGAACTAAAAGAGATGCCATAAAAAATTGATTCTGAAAGCAACCAATAGGAACACACCTGCCCTGATGAAGCCAACAGGTTAATGACAGTCAAAAGCATCCAGCCCCTGCTGGTCTCTTCACTCTGATTGATCTCTAAGAACTGGACAATGGCTCGACTAGCAGCCTCTGCAGTAAAAGAAGAACAGTTAAATGAAATCACTTGTTTATGTAGGCTTTCAAATATACATAGTTAAGAGCATTTTTAGTATTGTGGTCAGTTCTTATTTTAACATATAAATTACAAATATGGAGGATATACAATTTTATTTACAGAAAAAAAAGTGTATGCTTATCATGGACAACACCTGAACCTTTAACCCTGACCTTTAGACATTTCCAATTTGACACGAGGAATATTTTAAAATATTGGCAAAACTATGAATAGCAAAATAAAAGAAAATTTGTATGTCAAAACTTGATGAAAATGCACTATGATACCATAACAACTTCCTTTCCATTGAATTGCAGAACCTTATATTCCCAAATCTCAAATGTACAAAACTTAAATAAAACATGAAAAATATATATTTTTTGCTTGGATAGGGAGTGTTAGGCCTGTCTAATTTGTATTACGGTCTAAACTGCTGCTAGGGAAATGTCCCCTTACCTCCTGGTGCATCCCCATGACAGGTTCATTTCATATAAAAGGTACCATAGGCAGATGGTACTTACTTTCCTCCCAGTTTCCTAGCCAAAACATATATCCTGTCTTCCGTGCATGGGGAAACATGCTCCACTAGCCCTCCCTCCCACTGGGTGCCTTAGTGTCCAATAACCAGGCTTGAGCAGTGTCACATGAGGGGAAAGAAGGGCATTCTGAGCCCTTTACAGAAATATGTTATTTATGATATTTGCATATTAGTTTGAAGGCTGTTTAAGAGAACAGGAGAGCATGGGAAAGATAAGTATACCCCTATATGTGGCGTCATATGAAGTCAGATTATGACTTTGCCTAGTACTTGATCTTAGAGTGGAATTGGACTCAAAAAGTGAAGATTTACCATATAATATGGAAAATTTAAAACATGTCAATTATGTCTAAGCAGCACTATTAAAAATTACCTTTTGTCTTGAATTCCGCCTGAAAAAATAGTTTACTTCAAATAGAGATTTACTACTGTTCTGCTCACTGTTGTTCTTTTTGGAGGTTCTGACATGAGGTAAAACCCTGCCTTCTACCAAAATGGCAGCCTCCATACAGAGACAGTGTAGAGAAAATTCTGGTGAGTGCCCCCTGGCTGCATTTTTCTTTTTTTGGGCACAGCTTTCAGAGTTCAGTTCCTCTAAGTGGTTATTGGCTCATACACGAGTCCAAAAATAAGAATTAAGTGAAATGAAGAGACACATGCATGAAGCATGCATTGAGCTAAAAGGCTTAAAAGACAAAAGTACTAAAAGGATAACTATGGGATCAGGGCCTTTCCCCATAGTTCTCCTAAGGGTAACGGGAGGACACAAACTAGCGTCCTCCCGTCACCCAAAGCACAGTATACCGCAAGCTACAACTTGCGGTATACTGAGACGACGACGCCGTAACGGATCCCGACAATGCTGTCTGGATCCACCCAGCTGTGTAAGTAACAGCTGGCTCTGCCTATCTAGAGGCAGAGCCAGCTGTACCCGCCCCCTATCACGTCCGTTCCACCAGTCAGCGCTGGAGGATCGGACAGGGGAGGGGGAATCCCTGCAGGGAGCCGTGAGCGATAGTCACGGCTCTCTGCAGGGACAGGATCGTCAAGTGAGCGAGTGACAGTATGTGTTCGCTCACTTCCCGATCTAATTGTCACAGGTCGGTTAGAACTATGAGGCTGAGTGATTTCACTCGCCTCATAGTTCTCCTTTAAGTATCTGTATTAGTTTGCGCTGCTCTCAAATAAATGCGGAATGCTAAACTAAGCCATGTTGACCCCAGTCCACACTTTCAAATGGCTCTAATGCACGGAATACTGCTGGTAGTTTGATCAAGAGTGCCTTGTGTGCAAACTAAATGAGAAATGAGCCCGTATAGATTTGAGTAAGAAAAAAAAAAAAAAAAAAAAGTGCACCACAAGGCCAAAAATTATGCAAAAAAGTAACAAACCTGTGGACTTATTAGAAGCTCTCCTTCGAATCTCAGTCACCATCAGGCGCGATACTTGCGTTGTAAACTGCAGAAGGTCTGAGAACTTCTCTGTCATTGTGCTAGGAGGTGCATTTCCAAACACCTGAAGATAAAAGAAAATTGCAATAAAATATTGGCAAGAACAAAAATCATGGATAGTACAAAAGTAGAAAAGGATAAACAGGACACAAATTCAAACTTTCTGCCACACAAAATGCTGAGATATGAAAAAATAAATATGTCAAGGACAGAAAATGATTTCCCGCTTTCCACATGGTTTTAAAAGTGAAAAAGAAACTTGCGTGGGTTCTGAACCTTATAAAAAAAAAAAAAGCGGGTCAATATAGAAAACTGCGCCACTCTATTAATTCCCCATCAATGACTCTAAACCAATGACCCATACCAAGCCAATTAAAAGATAGGTAGATGTAGGGAAGCGTTCCTGTTCTGATAACAGCTCAACATTTTGGAGTTTCCATCCCTTTCAGTCTCTATGACAGGGGTCATCAGGACAAAGAGAGGGACCACAATAAAAACCTGACAGGCATTCTAACCTTTCACCACTCTATCCAAAAAAAAAAAAGTTTAGGCTTTAAATATACTTTAATAGACCTCTCTGCTCATGACAGTAATTGGTTAGTTTTAGAACTTTTAAAAGCTAATTTAAGCCTGGCTGGACATAGGCATATCTCGAAGCGCAACTCCATTTTTTTTTTCTAACAGCCACAGGTCAACTAAATCACCTCAACGGATAGCTGCTAGCTACGGTCCGGAGATCCTACTTTTTCTTCTTCTGCCGCTTGCTTCGAAAGTTCTGGGGCCCATACAATTATGGAGTCGCATTGCTCACCCACCCCCCTCCTCTCTCCTCATCCATTCACAAAGGTATTCTGTGAAAAGAGCACAAAAATAAGGTGTTCTGTGAATGAACAAAGGCAGAGGAGGCAAAGTTAAACAGGATCTCCACTGTCCATTCACAGATTGCCTTGCATTTTGTGAAAAGAGTGCAAATCTTTTTGTGCATGGATGAGTGGAGAAGAGGGAGAGGGGGCAGTGAACAATGCTAGCCTATGTTGTATGATTGCCGAAACTCTCATAGCCTGAATGTGTCCTGGAGTTCCACTTTAAATTATCAGACTCCTTGAAAATCCTATGGGATGCACTACAATGACTTCATGCAAAAAGACTTCTGTGCCATTTAAAAATATCTTGCTACTCCCATAATTTGAGGCCAACCATTTGTGGTCAAAAAATATCAACCAAAATCTATGCTGTGTACATGTAAAAGTAAAGGGAAGAGAGCCTGAGAAAAGAAAACTAATGCCCCACGATCCCCCACCTAATCTAAGAACCAGTAAACTGCATCTTATTACATTTGTGTTCTTTGGTTGAGATGCCTTTTAAAGGTTCCGTCTACCCAAAGATGGCATTTCAGCTGTGGGTGAAACAGGCAGCATGAACCAGCCACTAGGCTGCCATCTCTCTGACCGGAACAGTGGGGTCTCTCCACTTAAACATTTGGCCTGACACAGTTAATCCCCATAGCCTTTTATTTTGCCATCTCTCAGGCAACCACTGTGCAGTTGCGGCCAGGAGAATGAGGAATATTGCCGAAGGCCCTGAAGATTCCTGTTTACCAAAGGTGCTCGACCGAGGTGACTATGTATCTGGGACTGAAAAGGTTGTGGCATTGCTTGGCAATACCACGGTGTTATGTGGCCTCAAAGTGACCCAGGATTCTCAGCTAAAGGGGCTGAATGGCAAGCACAGCACAGTACTCAGGTTGTCTGCCGGAAACGGATAGTGGTCCTGAGGATTGAGGCCGGAGCAGCAGTGCTGCAAGAGAAAACTTAAAGGACTGGGACAGCTCGAGAATTGGTGAGCCAAACTATGTTATATGCTGAAGAGGTGTATCCAAACCTCTGTTTTTAACCTTAGTGTGAGACAAGTTTTTTTACATGCTAGCTTGTGAGTGTGCCAGGAAAACTTTTTGCTATATGCTGAAGACAAGCTATTTTAGGTTGGACTTCCTTGGTTGTCTGCCTTTGCAAAAATAATAAAGACTTTTTGTTTATGGAAAAGTCCTGTGCCAGTTCTCTATGAGCGTCCCAACATTACAGGGGAGTGTGGCAGTATTACAATAACCTGCACCTACCCTGTTAAAAACAGGCAGCATCATGTAAAGTTTTTCTTCCTGTTCCTTTTGAGTCATGTGTCGGGCAGGATGACAAAGCTCAGTGAAGAGTCGCCTCAGATGCATTAAACCTAGTGCATTGTCCTGGGGGCTGCACTCCTCTTGCCGAGGTCGGCCCATGATCCTCTTCACCATATTCATGGTTGCACTTTTGTCAATGCACGCCTCTTACCTACAGAAAGGGGGAGGGGGGAAAGCAAGCATTACTATAATGTCAACAAGTATAAGAATGAATATAAATTTCAAGAAGTATATGTTTTCCAATCAAAACAGCAAAGGACCTCCTTTGTATGGCCGGTTCGCACCACAAAGTCCGAGTTCCAGTGCGTTCAGCCTCTGGAACGTACGCCGCCCGGCTCCCTGGGCGGGAAGGGGCGTGGTGGTGCATTGAAGTCAATGGCTCCGCAGCCATGACCCCCCCCC